ATGTTTTTAATACTTAACTTAAATATATGTAATCGAAATATGCATATTTTTAAATTATCGTAATTGTAATCTCAAATGTATGTAAATAATTTTTTACAAAAAGTGCTCCTATTGCTCAGTATTTAGAGAAGAGGAATTTACGCCAATTATGTGGGTTTGATTCCAATTCCTTCCTTTTGGATGATGATTTCGTTATTTTCTTTTCTATACAAGCTGCATGCAAGACGAAAGATAAACGAATCAACGTGAAGACGCGTTAATCCGAAGAGTGTCGGCTGCTGACTTAAACGAGACAGCAAACCAGATATGCAAGGAGACGGACACCAAACATGGACTCACAGTGAGTAAACACACCATAAGACGTCATATGAATACAGCTGAATTGTTTGCACTGGTTCCTGTGAAAAAAAACCTCTCACCCAGACAAAGAGTAGGATGATCTGATTGAAATTTGTAAAGAAGCCCGAAGTATGGACATCTAAAGATTGAAAGAAAGTCCTTTGGAGTGATGAATCCAAATTTAAATTATTTGGAAGAGATGGCCGACGTTTTATTTGTCGTCTCAGGGGCACTTGAAGAGATCTCCGTTACGAATGGCCAATAGTGAAAACCGAACAGTTATGGTGTGGATCCTAATGGCTTCTCCCCCTTTGTTCACATCGATGGGAATATGGATTATGTTTACAAATACAAATAAAAATTCCCATGCTACCTTATGCTCGTGAAAAGATGAATTGTGGGTAGATGTATCACAGGATAATGATCTTACCCAAGTCGAAATATTTGATGGTTTTCCATTGAAGATCTTGATGGTTATGATCAATAACTCCATCATGAACCATTATATTTTTTGATGGTAACCAGCATAAGTTACCATGACTCCAATGTAGGAATTCAGTCTGATTTATGGTGGTTCAACATAAAAATAACAATTTGCTTTGATGTTTTTTTTTCTTGTTGAACCATAAGAAATTTCCATCATAGTTTATAAAAGAAAAGTAAAAAAAAAATGGTTTTTATGGTATATTCCTGCTAAACCAACAAGACTTTTCCTTAAACCATCATGGAAGTGTATTGTTGTACCATTATGGACAACAATACATGCCTGAATTTCCATAGTATACTAGAAATCAAATGTTGGAACGATCAAGAACAACCATCATCCCGATGTTAAAATTCGGACTGATTTATAATGGTCCAACATAATTTTTTTTATGCTATATTTCTGATAACTAACAAGAATTTTCATTGCACCGTTAATGAAATGTACAATTGGAACCATCATGGACTGTAGGTTCATGAGAATCTTCTAATGATGGTAAACCATCATAGTATTAAAACAGCATAGTATTTGATTGGGATGGAATGATGGAACATGGAATGATGGAAGTTTGTTGGCATATCAAACATCATGAAAGCATAATGGAAATGTTGGATGATGGTGATCATCAAATGATGTTGGACCATCAGGAATCGCACTGAAACCAACATAAACCATCAAAATTTTTTGATTGGACTATTAGGAAATTGGTAAACACACCTCCAAAATTGTGACAAGTTAGTTTACCTGATCCAATAGTTAGTTTCCAATGGAACACTTTTGGAAATTCATCGGAAAAGTCGACACTCGGAAGCATTCTTTAAAGAAAGAATCTTCAGTCGGAATAGGTGAAAATCTTTAAAGTCCACCATATCATCCCCAAACGATGCCCCACAGTCATCAAAAACAAAAGGACATGCAACAAAGTATTGATTTCTATTGGTTTCTTTTCTTAACTTCAAATAGCTAGTTTCAATAAAAGTTCATAAAATCTAAATTGTCACAAAACTTTTGATTTAAATTTTTAAAATTCTCGTTTGGTGTTAAATTAAAGAATTTCAAAATTGTTATTAGTTGCTCCGAATGTAGGATAAAGTTACTGATTAGTAATTTACATCTTTAAGAAAATTTGCTTTCGGACAAAGAACAGAAAAACACACGGCATATGGTCTCAAAACTTTGGTCTATCATGCATGGAAACTTATAATTCTCATTTCTTTGAAAATCTTATTGAAATTAACCAACAAATTGCACAAATATTTATAAAATCTTTTTTTAAACAAAATTTGTTTGTACGAAATTTTTAAAAATTTTGATTTAAGTGAGAAAAAGGGAAATTATATGAAAGATTTATTTAAAATTTAATGCAAAAAATTATAAAGCTAAACTATTCTCACATTTACATAATCGTTTTGTTAAAGAAATTTTCGCTCATATTAGTTTAATAATCTGGCATTCACATTGTTACTTTTAAAAAAGAAATAAATAAAAAAATCTCTTTTACAAAATAACATAATTTTTACGGAAGCTTTAGCTTTAAATACTTTATTACGTATAATAATTCGAATTCACTATATCCTGTGGGTTTACATATTCAAGAGTTATAACAATAGTTTCAACTCTCGAATACATCTAATAGCGCAAGTTTCTTCATGCTTACAAGATGGATGTAAACATGGTTACTGTCGTTATTTACTTAACAAATGTCTGTTAACATCTAACTAAACATAATAACGATGAAGGACTAATTACGAACGAGGTGGTTGTGGAATTAGTTAAATGAATTAACATAATAGTAACCTCTTATATTTATGTAGAATTATAGGTAGTTTCTTTCTTAAATTTTGTTCAATCTTTTTTTTAAGTTTATGGAAAAATGTAATATCATTTCTATTTCTACATCTTTACGCAAAAATCATCAATAACATCTATTCATTTTCACTTCATCAAAATTTTAAAAATATTTATAATTTTTGTGCAACTTTTTAAATACGAACACCCAATCGTTTGTTATTTCGCATTTTTAAAAATTTACTTTTTCAAAATACAGTATATTCCTGATTAGTGACTTGTATTGACTTAAATAACTGGAAAGAAAATTGGAAAATCCGAATAATACTGAGAATGCTTATTTTTGGTTATGTAGTTAGCGCTTTTGTTACATTATAGTTCAAAAGTTTTTGTACCATCATTAAAAGTATATACTACGCTGCCGCCTTCATATAGTCACATTTATTTTCAGCCTCTTGCCGTCTTTGTGAATTCATGAATACAAATTCATTGCAATTACAATTTTACAATTACACAATCGTCAAATTCATTTGTAATTTAATTTGAAACTCATGAACTTATCTTTCTGTATATTCATGAATTTTTGCAATTATATTTCTTTCGGTATTATATCACATCATGAGAAAGCATTGAAATCGATATTATTTTTCTATCGTATTGCTAAGATATCGATTTTTTTAAAATTAACTTGAGTACACTAGCCCCAATACCAAAAATTCTATCCTGTCTGACGTAAGTTACAAATTACAGACGAAAGCTACTAGCTACATTTTAAATTCCTCAATTAGTTAAAAGGGATTAAATATGATAAATGCAATTTTGCAATCAAATAAAACTTGATTTAATGATTCAAATCGCGATATTTAACTTTTCGGTAAAAAATTAAATGAATCTGAGAATCAAAATCATGAAAATGTGTTAAAATATTTTAATAACTATCTTGAGTAGGTTTAAAGAAATATGTTATAACGTTTTTAAAAAAAAAATTCGTAGCTGAAATCCGCAAACAGTAAGAAACTTCTTCTTTAAGTTTCAAAAATATTTTAAATCTTTTAAACTGTATGCATGTTTTCAAATATGTTTCTGCTTTGTTACATTGAAAATATAATATTTTGGTTATAAAAAAGTTTTTTTAGATATATCAGAAGCTTTTTTTTTGTTATCCCAGAAGCATAAACGAAGAGTCGAAATATTTTGTATATGTTAATAAAAGAAAAATCTACATTCGGGTTTTCTGAAGGTTTCAGGGTTTTCTGAAATTCTGAACCGTTTTGAAACATAACAACAAACATTTCTATTTATTTTTTCAACTACTTGCTTTTTGAATGGACGTGCATTGGTTTTGTAAAATGGTTTTTGTAGTGTGTAGATCAATTGCTGAATTTTTAAATGAATAGTTGTATTTATTTCGATATTAAGAGATAATTATATTTTTAAAGCAACTCAAAATAAATAATGATTAACTTTTCGCATATTTCACTAACTTAGAGTTTTTATTTTTGAAAGATGGTATTTTACAATTCTACTATATCATGCATTATTAATTTCATTATTTGTTCGTATTGCGAGCAGAATTCAAATCGAGACGAAAACTTATTATTTTCTCTGGATGCATATATTTTTATGCACCACATATTGCATATTGATTATAATATTAATAATTTTAGAGTAACTTATTAAAATTGTTCGGTTTATATTCGCTATTTCGTTTTTTTTAAACATAAGATTACACATTTCTAAAAAATTATATTTTCCAAAAAATAAAAACTCGAAAAAGAGCAGAGAAAAATTATGTTTTTTTTAAAATGTGTAAATATTTTTGAGTACATGCTTTTTTATTGCTAAAAAATTCCATCTGCGCATAAAATCCTTTTAAAAAAAGGAAGAAAAGTTCTAAAAAATACTTAAAATTTCTTTATTTTCAAAATAAATATTTTTAGTCTTTTATTGCGCTATATGTTTTAAATATGCATTTCTGTTTTGAACGGATATTTAATCTTATTTATTGCTTTTTGCATACAATAATAATATTTACATTTGTATTCTCAGCTTAGATAGAAAAAAAAAGTATATTTTAATTAAGCAGGTATTCCAATGCATTTCGTAAAAATTAAAATTTTTCAAGCTTATGTTTCGGCACATTGTTATTCATAATTGCAATGATATTTATAGGATTTCCAACCGAGAGGATTTTCATCAGAAAAAAAAACTGGAAAGTAATCAAGTAGTTCAATGAGTTGCATTATTCCCAAAACTGGTTCTCTTTATGCAAAGTCTTAACGCTAAGTGCATCGGATCGACTCCTTTTCACATCTCCAAAATCTCCAATAAATTATTTCCTTCACTGCAACCATGCTCTGCTCATAATTTGAAGTCTTTCTTCATTGCGAGGGACTAATTAAACCTTTTGTTCGCAGGAGATCAATGGGGAAGCGTTACTTACATTCCGCATAGAAGAGGAGGAGGAGTAACCATGGCAACGTCTTCTTGGATACACCTGGTGATAGGCCTTCTTCTCATTGTGTGCATGGGAGGTGAGTACCTTACCTTCCAGAAAACACTGATGTCTCTTATAAGAGGATTTGCTCTTTTTTGTTTTTGAGAGGGCGTACTTAGCATCAATGGAATCTGCTTAGTGGCAAAGTCTGTTGAATGTCTTGTAAGACGACATGCAATGAATAACGAAAATTCAGTCGTACACGCCACCAAAAAAAATATGAAGGATATTTGAGGTCCTTGTAAAATCAAATTGATATACTTAGGTTTTGTGAAATCGAACGAAAAATGTAATTTATTTCACGAATAAAAACAAGTAGTTTTTTGTTTATTGAGAATTCGTAATGGAATGGCTGTTGAATGTATCGTAGGACGTAATACTTAATGATAATGTATTTTTCCAATTAATGAACAAATTAGTTTTTATTATTGAAGTGGATGCATTTAGCATCAATGAATGTGGTGAAGTCTGTTGAATGTTTTGTAATGAGACAGATAATAGATATTTAGTTTTATATGCTATGAAAAAAACATAGCGGATAGATAACATTTCATAGCTCAGTGGATATGTTAAAACTAGAAATAAATACACTCAATATCATTGGATGTTGTTTGGTGGATGAATGTTCAATAAAATGTTTTTATATAGTTCTACATGCTGAAGTAAAAGGGAATAAAAAAAAGACTGGGCAGCTATTTTTTTTAATCCTACTACTAGTTTGGGTCAATTGGCCATAATCATTGCTAATTGGCCATTGGTCTTGCACGTCAATTTAAAGATGATACTTATTCGTCTGATCTAAGTCAGATCAGAACCACGAAGTTTACCTTAAACACTGTAAACATTGGCTTCTCAAATATCACAAAACTTTCTTCGTTCTTGACGAGACCGTTCCCTGCTATATACCCCGAGCAAAAATTTCGTCTAAGTGGCGAAATAAATAACGTCCCTTGGTCAAGAAAACGAATTTCGTCAAAACTAGATAAACATTTTGTCAGACTATTGCTTTTAAAAAAACAAACCTCGTAGTGCCCAATGTATCTAACTTTCTAACAATTATTTTAACGTGGGAACCATATAGGCAGCATAAAAAAGCAGTGAATTACATCCACGCCCAAAGCGGGTTTCGAGCTCCGGATTATCCTAGCGGTAGACCAACGCTTTGACCACCATGCATGCTGGCCAGCTTACTTCGCCACTTTATTTTCGATTGTCTAGTCTTTATTCTAGTTTCGTCATTCAAGTTAACAGTATCCCCAATGCACTACAAGGAGATTTTGAGTCGAGGAAACATTTCCGTCATATATTTGAGAGTTCGCATTTCATCACAAATCACGTAATTTCGTGACGAAATGCTTCTGAAAACTGACGTAATACTTTTGAAGGATTGTTGAATCGTCAAGAGAGAGGCTTTATTTATGAGAGCGTATACTTCAAAAACATATATTTTAGAGTTCGCATTTCATCACAAATCACGTAATTTCGTGACAAAAGGCTTCTCAAAACTAACGAAATACTTTTGAAGGATTGTTGAATCGTCAAAAGAGAGAGTCTGTATTTATAAGAGTATATACTTGAACACATACTAATAATTTAATAAGTTGCCAGGAAGTGTCTTACAACTGGAGTAATCTGGAAATGCTGGCTACTATAAATAAGGTCCACTGAACGTAGTAGTATATCCAGTTTCGACATCATTCAATTTGATGCTAAAAAGAAGAAAGTGTCCATTCAAATAACAATCCTCACATGAAGGGGAGCTATCATTTGAAGGCTCAATTAGAGTGGGAGCTATCTACTGAAGTTATCATTTGAAGGCTCAATTAGACATAATGCTTATGTAATTGAAAATAAAAATCTTTATATTTCGGCATAAGCATACGTAGCACCAATAGAATTTGTTCGATGAATGTTACATGCGTAGTTGAATGATGCACTGAGAAAAAAGTATGGTCAAAACTACTAGAGCATGGTAAAATTTACAGTGTATGGGAATACCGAAAAGCTCGGTAACTTTCAAAGATTTGCTTTGGAAATGATTTTGGTAAATTTAATAATAAAATATGGTTTTAAGATACGGATAAAATTTGGTAAATGTGGTAAAATTTGATAATTCTATCATGGCACATTAGAACATGGCATAAAAACCATTTATTCGGATAAATTTAATTTTCAGTTTTGTATTTGATATTAAATGTGTGGTAATAAGAACTATAATTTTGAAAACCATATGAACGGAAAAATTACTAAATGAATATTTAAATTTCCGTATGTTTTAATTTTATTTTTCAAAATTCGTGTTTTTTTATATTTTTTTTAATAACAGAAATGGAAATTTTTTCTCCGCATGCTGTATGAATTTCTTCAAACATTAAGGCAAAAGTTACATTCTCCTTACAAAATAAGCACATGTTCAAGCACGTTTTTTGATTGGAAATTAATCACCTATAATTTAACTATCATGTTTTTAAATTTTAATTTTGTCTGATCATTGTATTTGCTTTTCACAATCATTTGCTCTTCGTCTTCTTTAATTTACATAGTGATTAATTAACATTCACAAAATGTTTTAGATGATTTCCAGGAGAAGTCTATTGATTTCCAGTCGTTAGCATAATTAAGACTACATTATTGAGATTCCATCAGAGACGAGCGCTTATTAACTTTAGATAATTCCTAACATTTCGGGTAATTTAAAATGAATAAAATTAATTTAAATTTCATTAACGAAATGTCGTTATATTTGTAATATATATGGTCTGAGCTCTTAACCATCTAAACAAAAATACACTTTTATAGTACTTTATTTTTTAAATTTTGTAATTATTATTAATTTGTTTAATAAGGTGACGCATGCCCTTTTTGTCTATATATAGCCGAAACTTATTCCAAAATGACAACATACACTTCTTACCATTAAACAGGGTTTCCCACTAAAAAAATCTATCTTTTGAGCTTGGATAATTTCATTTGATGTACCTTCAGAATTTATTCTAGTTCATGATTAATATCCTGTTTCGTAACTTAACTTCAAAATTCTATAAAAAACGCGAAGAAGCAGAAACGAAAATATAAAGTATCATAAAAAATGGAATAATTACCAAAAAGATTTCCTGTCTAGTTTTTAAAAAAAATTTCCCTTCCCTGAAACAAAATTGGATATTTTTACTTGATGTACAGTGCGCCAAAAAAAGGGACCACTCTGAATAACTTTTGATCTAATGATCGGATTTTAGCTTTCTAGGAATTAATCTTAATGGCTTGAGGGGGCGACCTCAAATATGCTAAATAGCATTTTTTCAACAGATTCGGATTTTTGACTCCAAAATATAGGGGATAGCCTAATCTGGGAAATATGGTCCCCACGGTTTGGACAGGAGAGAGATCGAAAGTTTGAACTCCATAATGTTAATTTTACTTTTTGAGTACTTTGCGAACTCGGGAACTTTTTTAGCGAATTGAAAAATTTTTGCACACAATTATAAAATTCGGTTTATCCAACGATAATTTCAAGCAAAAAGTAAATTTTTGCAAATATTTATTATTTTTTATTGTTTTACTTAAGAATGGTAGAAAAAAGTTTGAGTTTTAAGCTATAAAATTTTTTGCATAATTTTAAAGCATGTAATTTTACATAGCAAAATAGTAAATTTGAGCGAAATCTATCGATAGTTCCTTAAAAATTGAATTTCAAAAACGTCAGATACTTAAAATTTGATTTCTCAGGTAATATTCGACCGATTTCGCTGAAATTTTGTATTTTTCAATGCAAAATTGCATTCTTTAAGATGATACAAAAATTTTATTCCTTTCAATTCGAAATTTTTTCGACTATTTTTAAATAAAATAATAAATATTTACTAAAATTTATGTTTTGCGTAGAATTATCTTTGGATAAACGAATTTTATAGTCGTGTGCAAAACTTTTTCAATTCGCTTAAAAAGTTTTCGAGATCTGAGGAAATACGCATAAAGTAAAATTAATACCATGAAGTCCATACTTTGGATCGCTCTCCTGACCAAACTTTGGGGACCATATTTCCCAGATTGCGACTACCCCCTATATGTAATATTCCCTACCCCCTATATTTTTTATTTTGTGTCTGATTTCGTAACTTAAAACATCGTCTGCACTAATTGATTAGCATATTTGAGGTCACTCCCTCGAACCATTAAGTTTGAGTCCTTGAACGCAAAGATCCGATCATTAGATTAAAAGTTATTCAGGGTGATCCGCTTTTTTGGCGTACTATACATCTAGAATTTATCTTAGTTCATAATTAAAATCCAATTTCTTAATTCAATTTTAACATGCTCTAGAAAAAACTCGAAGAAGCAGGCACGGAAAGATAAAAGTATCGTAAAAAAGTGGAATAATTGCCAAAAAGATTTCCGGTCTTGTTTATTTAAAAATTTCCCTTCTCTGGAACAAAATTCACCAATAGCAGCTGTGACATATTTTAGTTCAAAGCCTAAAAAGTCTTAGACTTAAAAAGAACAAAAAAGGTAGGAGGGAAAAAAAAAATGTTCCATGGAATGATTAAGCCTCTACTCCTGCCTAACGATGATCCATTCTCCCTCTTCCACCCCCGCAAAGAAGCTTTCCTGATGTAAAGGGGACGTGAGACCCTTCTCTCAATGATACCACGTTCTTCAAGGAACAAAATATTTATTAAAAAAAAAAAAAAGAGTGTTCAAAAATTCCAAACGGGACGAAAGCAAAACCAAGAAAACAAGCCCACACTTTTGTAGCGCCAAACGATATAGGAAAGTGTAAGCGGGGAAAAAATCCTCATTAGTTCGCCTTCTTTTACGACAAGAAGCGCAGTTATTTCTATCTTGAGCAACGCAAAGGATTGCGTAATGAGGCGGAAGAGGGCGCTGTGAACGTTAACGTAGAATTTTTTTTACTCCTCTGTTCATTGCTGCCATTTTTTAAAAGCGAAATGCTTGCATTTTAATGCGTGGTTTTAAGCTTCAACAGCTATGTCATTCTTTAACATTTTTATAAATACGGCCGTAACCGTTAATAACGCG